CTGACGGCGAGAAGGAGGAAGATGAGGATCCCGAAGACGCTGAAGATGCCAAGGACACCGACGTCAAGGAGGAGGAAGAGGTGGAGAATGCCTCTGACGTTGTCAAGGAAGAGAACGGTGTACTAGAAGCTGAGGCAGACGTGGAGGAGGACGCCGAGAAGCAGGAGGACGAAGATGACCAGGCTGCTGAAGAAGCTGCAGAGGATTCTGAGCAGGCAGAGGCTGATAAGATTGATGAGGCCAGCGCTAAGGAACAGCAGATTGCAGAGGAGAACGACGTCAACATGGACGAACACCGCAAGCTCGCAGTGGACGAGCTCATTTCCATAGAGACCGACTTTGCCCATCTCCGAGACAAGCTCTACCAGGACAAGCTTGGTTTGCTAGAACACGAGCTACAGCTCTGTCTTGACGGGCTGCATCCCGAGCTTCTCCAGATCTACCTCAAGGTGAATGAGTTTTACCAGGACAGCATACGACTCGCCAACGCCACGCTCAATTACAGCCTCAAGTGCATCAACAACGAGACCATTGCCCTGCGTACGGCGATCCACCAGGACTTCATGAAGAACGTCATGGACATGAAGAACGACATGATCACCGAGGCCACACTGTTGTGGTACAAGGTCAACAAGGAACGCAACAGCCTAGACCAGTTGGTGCCTGACTTCAACTTTACTGCCCTCCCCACGATACCGACTTCGGACGAGCCTCGTGGCTTCAGCGGGCCCATTGTCGCTGGCGGCTCGCCCATGGAATACTACTTAGAAAACCCCGGCATGTCCAAGAAGGCCATCAAACAGAATACGCTATACGAGCTTGTTGAACAGCGCAACAGTCTCAACGAGGAGCTTGGCATCCTCAATGGCCTCACCGAGTTCCACGGTATCCCATGTGCTGTTGCCGGCAGAATCCACAGAGATGATCCAAACATAGACTCGGTCGACGAGCTCATACTCCGAAAGGCCACTAACGACGAAGTGGAGGAGGATTTGAGAGCCATGGGGATCCCCATCAACTGAGCCATACAGCCCACCGCTCGCTTTTTTTGCACCCAAACTGCACCCGTGCCTCCCACAATCGAGAAGCTACAATGTGTTCAAACGGGCCCCAACTAATACGAAATATACATCAACAACAGCCCACACCATGGTCGAAGTGTCGCTTACAGTCGGCAAACTCGACGCCTCTCTTGCGCTACTTTTAACTAAAGACCATCACCTCATCGAGTTCCCCACAATTTTGCTTCCCAATGGGGTCAAGGCTGGATCGATTGTTAAGATCAAGGTTGATCGAGACTTGGACACCGAATTGGAGGAGAAGAAGCAGTTCCAGGCGATCCAAGATGAAATCATCAACACCTTCGGTAAAAACTTGCCCAAGGCGCCTCAATTGAGAATAAAAAACGTTACCCAGACCTCCTGTGTCTTGGAATGGGACGACTTAGACTTGGGCACCGCCTCGCTTAAGAACCTTGTTTTGTTCAGAGACGGCAAGAAACTCGGTGCCATTCCTCAGGCCTTGACCAACAAAACCACGAAATTGTCGGGCTTGCCCATTGACCAGTCCTTCAAGTTCCACTTGAGATTGGACACCACCGCTGGTGTCTACAAGTCTGATGAGGTGGAAGTCACTACACATAAAATGACCGACTTGTCGGGTATCACCGTCTGCTTGGGCGACATTACGCCTAATGACCAATTCAACGTTGACGATATACAAGCTGCCTTGAAGAACATGGGTGCTCACCATCCTGCTCAAGAAACCGTCAAGGTCGACACCACACACTTTATCACCACGAGAGAAAACAAGCAGAATCCAGAATTTGTCAAGGCCAATGACATGAACATTCCTATCATACGGCCCGAGTGGTTGAAGGCTTGTGAGAGAGAAAGACGTATTGTGGGTGTGAGAGACTTCTACGTGAAGGATTGTCTGTTGCCGGACATCTTGGGCAGAGACTACTGGAAGAAGGCCTCCACCAAGGCCGCGGCCCCAAGCGAAGGCAGTCAGTCCGAAGCACCAGTTGTAAGAGTAACTTCACCATCTCCAGACCAAAGCCGTGACGAACCCAAGGAAGAGTCCAAGGAGGAGCTCACAGAGAAGCCCAAGGCAGAGCCTGAGGCGCCAGAGGCTGAAAAAGCCGCAGAGGAAAAGCCAGCAGAGAAGCCAGCAGAGAAGGAGGTTTCGCTAGATACAGAGAAGCCTGAGGCTTCTGAGCCTGTCACTGAGCCTGCCACTGAGCCTGAGGTCAAGACGGAAGCCAAGGAGGAGGCTCCAGCCTCAGAGGAATCCAAGACGGAGGAGACCACTGAAGAACCAAAGACGGAGGATGTCAAGCCTGAGGAAAAGCCTGAGGAAAAGCCTGAGGCAGCTGAGGAGCCTAAGGCAGCTGAGGAGCCAGCCGAGGAGTCCAAGGCTGAAGAAAAGTTAGAGGAGCCAAAGCCCGAGGACCCACAACCAGAGGAGGCGAAGGCCGTCGAGCCAACGACGAAAGGCGAATTGTCTGAAGTCGACCTCAACGAGGCCAATCCCGAGTCTGGCGTTGCTGAGCACACCAACCTTGCTGAGGACCTCGCGAAGGAAGAAGCCAAGGAAGCCGAAGAGACTAAGGAAGCCGAGCCAGAGGCCGCACAGGAGCCAGAGACCACCGAGATCAGCCTCGAGGACGACGCCCCAAGCAGCGGACCGCAGAACGGCCCTGGCAAGAAGAAGAACAAGAAAAAGTCGAAGAAGTAGCCGGGATAGCGTACAAAATGTATGTATATTACTAATGAAAGAAGCAGAACGATCACTCGCCGAACAACCGCCTGACCTTCTTCAAAATAGAATCCTTTTCGGGGTCGTATGGATGGTCCTTGGAAGGAATCTCTAGAATAGCAGGGAACGCATTCGTGTAGCTGTCCACCCGGAACCGTATCAAGTCGGCAATATGCTGGTTGATCAAAAGAATGGCAATGTCGTCCCGCTCCGAGGTAAACCTGTCAAAGGCCTCCTCCACCTGCTCCACAGACGTTTTCCCTGGCACCACCGTGAGGAAATTGGACTCCTTGCCGGGCTCATTGGATACCTGGCCCACGCCGGCCAATAGCAACCCCGTGACCGAGTCCTCGTCGGCGATCACGGCGAGCAACGACCGCTTGGACATAGCTTCGTTGGCGCTCATATTGATAGTGGTGTACTTCTGATGCTCACAATGATTACATGGCCGGTCGTGCGAGGCACCAAGATAAGCCGGGCCCGGGTGAAGTGAAGTTTGGGTGGAGATTTTGGAGGGGTTTTGGGAGGGTTGTTTTTGGGGATGTAGGTTTGGATGGGGTGGTTTTTTCAAGTCAATGGGTGTGGTGGTGGGTGGAATGGTGGTGGTTCTGTTCGTTTGCAGCCAATGCGAACAGTGGAGCAAGCTGTGGTGGGATTGAAGAGTTGGGTGGTTATGTTTCAAGAGTGAGCTTTGGTGGGTTTTATTTAGGCTACAAATGGAAAAACGGTGGTGAATTGAGCCAATTGAGGGATTTGGTTGTTAATGGGTGAGTAAATCGGTGATGTCTATGGGAAGATGCATACATATGAAGTGTATTGATTGATCTGACATAATCTCTTTTCCATTATTTCGCTATGTCAATTATTTTGTCATTTCAATCATGCTGAAGAATTGTATATTTTGTGGATTTTGGGCAGTGTACTGTTCCAGTCAACCGTCAGATACAGCAAATAGGCTACGCTACCCCGTCACAAACTCCAGTACCGTAGGACAATTCACAATCATAGAGGATTAAAATTTTTTGGGTAGAGGCTTTCATTTCGATACCATCGATTATATCTTAACATTGAATTTTATTTCCATTAATACCCAGTCTATCCAAGATCCCACCTGCTACTACCAATTTTTCAAAATGGCTGCGAAAAGACCATCCATCGCAGAAGCTACAAACCACCACAGAAAATCACCACAACGTCGTATCAAGCTGAAAAGAAGAAGGTACCGTTAATCAACCTCCTTAAACACGTAAAGACCAAATTTGAGCTATCATCCCCCCGTCTGACCAACCTCTGCCCAAACTCCACGTGACTATATACACATCTTCATGGCACAGCGACTCAACAACCATGTCTCTTCTACGCCTTGCCCGGGCTGTGCCCCAGAGAGGGCTCCATATCAGCAGACCGCTTCTAGCTGGCCACCTGAAGTGGCAGAATATCCGTCACGACAAGGCGAAAAACGACGCTAAGAAATCCAAAGAGGCTCATTTTCTTGCTAGTCGTATCGAGGCCTCAGTGAAAAGTGGAGGCACCGAAGGTAACGCCCAGCTCCAGACGTTGATGGAGAAGGCACGTAAAATGAACGTCACGAAGAAGATCATCGAAAACGCCATCAAGAGAGGAACAGGCGAGGTGACCGGAGAAGGTTCTGCAGCAGCTCAGACAACCTACGAGTTCATGGGTCCTAACGGTACAGCATTTATCATTGAGGCAGAAACCGACAACAAGGCCCGAACCATCGGCCGTGTCAAGCACGCCATGACCAAGTTCAACGCCAACTTGAGCCCGTGCCAGTACTTGTTCCAGAGAAAGGGAGAGATTGTCTTTGAGCCGCTCAACGAGGACGAGCAGCTAGACGATGTGCTTGAAGTGGCCATTGACATTGGAGCGGACGACGTTGAAAATTTTAATGATGTGGACGACGAGTACGGTGGAGCCAGGCTCTTCAGGATCCTCACAGACCCTTCCGAGTTGAACTCAGTCTCCAACAGCTTGGCCTCCAGAGGGTACAAGCTTCGAGACTCCAAGTCGATTTTCCACGCGGAGGACCTCAACCAGGTGGACTTCCCCGAGGACCAGGAAAAGGCCTTTGGCAAGATGATCCAACAGCTTGACGAGATCAGCGAGGTCACCAACTACTACATGAACATTCGCCAACTGTAAATAGCCAGCGGCATCAATGCATATACCTTCCACCTCCTACAAATCTGTACCTTTTGTGTTCATTATGCTATATGACATTACTCGTCGGACTTGTTCTTCTTCTCCTCCTCAGCAGCCTTGTTCAAGACCTCGTCGACACGCGAAAGGTTGGGGTTCTTCCACAATCTGAGCTGCTGGTCGTAGGCAAAGTGTCTGTAGGTGAAGTAACCCAAGGAAACCACAGCCACACCACAGGCGGCGAACAATGGGTACATCTCCACTGGAACGGGAACGGAGGGACGGGCGTTCTTCTTAGCTTGGTTCAACAAGATCTGAGCGGCTCTCATGGTGGATGATGGGGTTGTTGAAGAGTTTGATCTTTTCGACAGGAAAAACGAGACTGCTGGTTGGTGGGCGTGTGGGGTCACGTGACGCGATAACTTTTTGTGGTCCAGGATGCCTGGAATTGGCGTGGGTGGGGCTGTTTATCTAAAAAGGGTTCGCTTGAATAGATTCCCTTTGTCTAATTAAGTCTATATTTGTTCGGTGGGGTGAAAGAATGGGCCTTTGGGCCATAGCCAGGGTGGGTGCGAAATGGGCCCATTCTGCCCACGGTGCTATGTTCTGTGCATGGCTGCGAAACCTGGGACACTGAGATTCTTCGGCTGATGGGGCGGTGAAGGAGGGGGTTTGGTGGTTTTTGGAATTCCAAGGAAAAAGTATGGGCCTCACGTGGCACACAATCGAGCAAACCGTTGGCCATTGTTGAAACAATAACATGGCGTGGCAGCCGTGTCGCACGGCTGGAGCCTCGGTAAGCAGTATCCATAGGCGAGGCGCAAACTTAAGCTTTGGGACCAGTAGCTTATGCCTTTGTGGGCGGTAGCAATGTTTCTCGGCATTGTGAATATATCGTTGGCGTGTCTGGCCAGCTTTGAGAAGCATTATGGAAGTAGCAGGTGCAAATAGCAGGTGCACATTGCAGTAGCAGAGTAGAGCCAGGTAGTAGCCAAAGCCATACAACGTCCCACAAGCGCATATACCATGACAGAAGTTTTTAGTCATACGTGACTCAATGAATAGATTGGTTGTGTAACTGCGCCAGCGAACCAGGTGCAATCACCTCCAGCACCAAGATGCACTATTGAAGCATCCAAGATACTGTCAGTTCAAGACTGAAGGAGGGATGTTGCGAAGATACATTATGCGCTCCCTGACTCACCACCTGGCGATATGCATTTTCAAGGTGTCGTAGCACAACCAGCTGACTGCCATGGATGGCACGATCTTGTACAAATTAGCAGTGAGACCCTTGTAGGCACCAAAGAAGCCCTCGTTCTTGAAAATGCTAACCAAAGCGTGCGTCACGCTTCTGTACTGAAACCCTAGTTCTCCTCCAGCCATACTGGCAACCTGGTACCGCTTTCTCAATAGATCCAACGGGTAGATCAACAAGCCACCCACAAAACTACTGAATGCACCAGCGCCGAGCTTCCAGAGCGGATTGCTGAAGTCCCGCTTGGAGTCGTCCATCTTGTCTCTGAGGTGCTCGTACAAGGCAAAGTTGATAGCCACATACGGTGCTACACCCAAAGTCGTGGGCACGATACCTTTGTACAAAGCCAAGAAGCCGCCTTCGTTCCGATAAACATCTTTGAGTGTGTCCCAGACACCAGGCGCCTTGACTAGTCTGCCCTTGTTGAGCTTATTCAACGAAGCAGTCTGGATAGTGATTCTCGCTCTGACCAAGTCCAACGGGTACGTTGCCGCCACAGAGGCAATTCCGCCCGCCGAACCCGCAATCAAACGATCCGTTTCGGTCAAGGTCAGCCCTGGCGGCTTGTATTTCAACAAAAGAAGCTTGCACTCCTCAAACACAGCGAACTGGACCGCCGAGTACGGGAATATTCTCACACAGTTGAGCGTGTTGCCCCGGAACCAGCCTCGCCAGCCCTCGTCCTTGTACATTTTCCAGATGGTCGGAAACATGCCTTTGTAGGCGTGTTGGGCCTCGGGACCCTGGAGTTGGAGGAGAATCTTGGCTCTTTCAAAAGGCGAAACGAGCGTTCTGCTGATGGCGCCGGCCACGCCGCCCGCTAGAAGCGACGCGTTCAGCTCGATCTTGATGAAGCTTTTGCACCGCTCGTACGCGTCCAGCAGCATCCGGCAAGGCAGTAGTTGGTCTAGCGTTGATATTTGATATTTCGCACCGCGGGAATCAACGGGTGGGTAGGAGGAATGGAGGGGGAGGGGAGGTGAAGTAGAATGTGGGGAGAAAGTGGGATTTTATGGTTTTTGATGTGAAGTTGAAGAGATGTGGTTTTTGGTTGGAGGGGTTTCGGTGTTTGGTGGTGGTTTCAGTGGGGTTTAGTAGGCCGGTGCCGAGGTGTGGAGGTTATGGTATTAGCCGATCCCGGGAGGTGCCTACATGGATTGAAGGAGAAGGAAAGGTGATACTCGATTATTGAGAGATTTTTCAAGAGGACGCTTTAAAATGTTATTGTTTTTTTGCTCTGGATACCCAGAAAACCCAACCCAGTGAGTCATTACCCCGGAGACAGCCGTGTGGAGGTGGATTTCGCAGCCAATGCGCTAGGACCGAGTCAACCCGGGGTCCACAAGGCATATCCAATTGGACGATGAAAAGGTGAAATGCTGTTTTCTATGAAGTTGGAGGCGTGAAAATTCAGCAGATTAAATTTTTTTTTATTTGGCGCCCAAATCGTGGATTTTGATGTAGGTGGTTGGAGGGTATGTCAACCATGCGCTTAGAGGTCCCAATACCTCTATGAGCTTGACTCAGACCCTCCATCACCAGACACAATCCAGTACCAGAATATTAATTCACTTATTACCACGGTAACCTACCTCCTCTACTTCTTACTATGACAACCCACTTGGTCTACCCCCTCCCGTATAATACATGCATTACTAGTAACCGGCTAACACCTTCTCCACAGCAGCAACAAGAATGTCAGCGTGCTTCTCCTCAAACACCAAGGTGGGTCTCAAACGCACAGAGTCCTCGGCACAGCCGCCCATGTTGATGCCCTCCTTCTTGATGTCGCTCAAAAACTGGTTTCTCAAGGGCGCCTCCTTGAACGACCACGCAATGAACGTGCCTCTGTCCTTGCCTCTAAGGTTGTGAATGAAGTCTGGGTACTTCTGGGCCAAGCCTTCAAGCTTCTTGTACAAGTAGTCTCCGACACGGGCCACCACGGCAGGCAAGTCGTGCTTCTTCACCTCGGCTCCAATGGCTCCTCCAAGCAACATTCTGGCTGGGTCTCCACACCAGGTGTTGAACTGACGGTATGCAACGTTGGGGATGATCTCCGGGTCGTGGAAGTAGTAGCCTGCGGACTGGAACTTCTTGGAGAAAGTCACCATGTCTGGAGCAGGCGAGATGTTGAAATGCTCGTGGGCCCAGAACTTACCGGTGGCTCCCACGCCGGTCTGGACCTCGTCCATGATGAGGAGCGCTCCGTGCTTGATGGTGATGTCTCTCAAGCCCTGGAGGAAGGCCTGGGAGGCGTGGTTGTCGCCACCTTCGGACTGGATGGGTTCCACCAAAACGGCTGCAATTGGAGCAGAGGCCTTCTGGAACTTCTCCTCCACAATGGCAAGACAGCGCTTATCTTCCTCCTCGTTGTCTTTGGCGTGTTCCCCGAGCGGGTACTTGTAAGTGGGGAACTCGGCCTTGGGCCACTTGAACGATGGAAGGTCCAACTTGTGGATAGGCTTGGATCTGGTGGTGGAGGCTGTAGCGAACAAACGGCCGTGGAAAGCACGTTCAAACGACAAAACAGCGAGATCAGGAGAACCAGGCAGCTGGTTGTCCATGACGGTTTTGCTCTCCTCGGCAGTGAACTCCGCCTTGTAGCCTCTTCTTCTCAGCTGGTACCAGAAGAAGGCTGCCTTGAAGGCCAATTCGTTGGCATCGGCGCCCGAAAGACCCGACCACACCTTGTCCTGGCCCTTGGGCGCCACGTCCAACAAACTCTTGATGATCTCCTCGGAGTCCTTGCCCGGGAAGTTGCCCAAGGCTGGTCTGTCGATGATGGCTCTGATCATCTTGTCTGATTTTGCAACCGCCTGCAACGCAGGGTTGTTATAGCCCAACGGGATCGACGCGATCTGGGCGTACACGTCCAAGTACGTGTTGCCGTCGACATCCACAATGTAGTTGCCGTTGGACTTTTCGTAGTCAGCCACAAAGTAGACGGGTCTGGCATCGAACACCTGACCAAGCAGCTTGACGGCGTCCTGGGACTGTGGTCCGGGGAAAGCCGTTTTGACCTGGGGAGCAGCAGGCTCGTTGGGGAAGTACTGAGCAGAAATCGACATGATGTCGAAAAACCGACGGATCCGCCTGCTTTATATAGTTGCTTGGGGGAAAGTCTGGGGAGTGCGCCATGAGGTTGCCAAATCGGGACAGTCCTAGCGGTCAGCCCGTCTGGGTGGATTTTCCGATCTGGAGGTTTTTAGGGGTCCACAAGCTGTCATAAGTAAAGGTTTATTTGAATTTCACTAAAATTTCACCTTTTTCTCTTCCCTTGTTCTTCCCACAAAGTGACGTTCGGACTTGGCGGTTTGCAGCCATAGCGCACTTTGGAGCATCAGCCGAGAAGGAAGCGGAGTCGATCGATTTCTTGATTGTGGGGCCCGAAAAAGCACCGTTTGAGCATTTTAGACTGGGGCCAAGCTTCCGGGGCCCATTGTGGAATTTGGCGTTTTCTGGTGATTTTCGCTTTAGCGCTGTGGGACGCTGACTTGGTGATGCTAGGTGTGGCGCTTGTTTCTGTTTTAGTTAGAGGCCCCCGGGGTGTTGAAGTTTTGGGTGAATAAGGTTTGGGAAGGCCACCTGTGCACTTTTTTTTCTTCTTTTGGCTTCAGTTCGTGGAGGTTTTGTGGAGGTTTTGTGGAGGTACTGTGGAGTGTGGAGTCGGCTGGTAGTGAGGGATGGATGTAGCGAGGAGATGAGGAGGGGAAGGGAAAGACGGTTGTATGGAGAGGGCGTTGTTTTTGAGTGATAAGAGAGGTTTGTGTTTTTGACAATACTTCAACGAAGCCAAATTTCAGTATTTTGATGATTTTGGGTGGGTGAATTGGTGCAATGGCTCTGGCTCTATGGCTCTATGGCTCATAAGGCTAGTCTATTATGGGCTTCAAAAGAGAAATGAGAATTGTGAGATCTTTAGAGCAACAATTGACAACAAAGTGACACTTCAGGACTTTCAAATCTCTGGCCTTACGACATGATGACTGAAGAGGAGTAAGAGTAGTGTTAGTTAGAGTAGTGTTCTTGTGGCTCCCAGAGATCAAAGATTGATGACGTAATTGTCTCTTCCGTGCCATAAGAATTCAACAGACAAACAGAGATTTCGGCTTCATTGTCGACAAAAATGTTGAAATAAGATTTAGGATACAAAGATGACCACTTAGAAGCTTCTCTTCATGCATGCGCTCTTTCCATGCATAAGAGACCCACCAGCATCCCATATCTGACTCTCCGTAGAGTATACTAGCGATAACATTCGAACTCTAAAATCCGTTAAATTGACTTCTCCATAGCCGATATGTCATTTTTCTATCTTATTGTTGAACCTCTTGGATCCACACTAGAGCCTACCACACCATCAATGAAGATCTACACAAAATCTCCCAAAATCCACAAACCTCCCCTCCAAAAATGCCAAATTAAATTGGCCCCCAAAAAACAAAATTCCCCCATAAAAGCATACATTACCGCCCTCTATCACTTCTGCATCACCTTCCCTGGATGCACCTACACCATCGCAGACCATCGCGAAGTGTATACAAATTGAAAACAAACATCTGCTGCACCACAAATCACAGAATTAAGCATGAGTCTTGAGCCTAAAGTGGAAGCGGAGGACGAAAACCTCTCCAAGCACGATCTCCACGAGGATGGCTTTGATCAGGAAATTCAACGAGCCATTGCTGAGCACGAGATGGAGCTTCTGAGGCAGCAGTACCAGCCTGCTCAGGAGGACCAGGGACAGGAGGGCCAGGCTTCTGAAAATGCCCAGGAAGAGAATTCTGAAGATGTTCAAACCAGCGAACAACAGACGGAGAGTGAAGCCCCGGCTGCTGCTGAAAACAACGAACAGAGTCTGAACACTGAGACTGAACAGCCTACTGATAACACCGAGGCACAAAACGATGTGTTTTCCGCTTCGACAGAAAAACACCACTTGGAGCTAATAGCTGACGAACTCAAGAAGGCTACCACAGACGACAAGCTGGAGAAACCTGGCCATATTCCTGCAAACTCAGAGCTTCTTGCAACAAACACTGCTTTGGCAGCTTACAACGCTCTTTCCAGCCAGGTACCTCCTGCTGCGTCTCTTACAAATGTTCAGCTTGCCGCTTTGCCCCTTCCTATCGTTACACCCGACTACCTTCCCGCAAGAATCCAGCTTTTGGTGAACACCTTGCCTGTTTTGGACAATTTAGCCACGCAGCTTCTCCGTGTGTTTGTCACAGGGCCTTACCAGAAAATCATTGAGGTTGCTTCGAGTCCAGAAACTCCCCAGGGTGCTGCTTTCCGTGACTTGGCCTCGCTTTTTGAGTTCACCAAGAGACTTTATTCAGAAGAGGATCCGTTCCTCACGGTCGAACACTTGGCTCCTGGAATGTGGAAGGAGGGCGACACCACGCCCAGCATGTTCAAGAACAGAGAGCAGAGCATCGAGTCCACGCTACGAAAGGTGAACTTGGCGACCTTCTTGGCTGCATCCTTGGGAACCATCGAACTCGGTTTCTTCTTCCTCAATGAGTCCTTCTTGGATGTCTTTTGTCCCGCAAACAACCTTGAACCTGCCAATTCCATGTCTAACATGACAGCCTCCAACATGAACCTACAGAGCGGCGTAAACACAGTCATTGGAGACAAGGTCGGTAAGTTGCTCAAACCACAGGCTGTTTTGTACCTTGATTTGAAGACACAAGCCTACATCTCCGCCATTGAAGCGGCTGAAAGATCCAGCGAGGAGATCCTAGAAGATATTTTGCCCAGCAACATGGAGGAGATTTTGCTCAAGAAAAGAGGCACCAAGACGCTAACGCCAACAGAGACCGATTTTATCAACAGGTGCAAGTCCCGTAAAGAATCGCTTCTAAGCTACCCTGCCGAAGGCAACCTCAGTGAAGAATACGAGTGGTTCGCCTTTTTGAAGGACCTCTTCGACTACGTCTCCAAAAACATGGGTTTCCTAATATGGGGCAAGAAGGGCAAGCAGGCTCCAAGAGAAAGAACCCATACCACACCCCACAGCAACCAGACCCTACAGGACGCTAGCCGTGCAGCCGAAAACAAGGCAGGTTCGCCTACGCACGAGGGATACGAAAGCAGAGAAGGACACGAGGTTGGAACAGGAAGCGGGCAGGACACCCAAGCAAGCAATCCTGAAATTAACGAAATCACATCTGCACTTCTCCCTAGCGAGATTTTGGAACAGCAGATCCACCTTCGAATCAACCCCCGCCTGTCGGGAAAACTTACGAGCCGAAGGCCGTGGACACGTGAGGAAGAAAAGGCCCTTCGCCATGCTTTGGAGTTGAAGGGTCCAGCGTGGTCTACGATTTTGGAGCTTTTTGGGCAAGGCGGACGAATCAACGAGGCGCTCAAGAACCGTACGCAAGTGCAACTCAAAGACAAGGCCAGAAACTGGAAAATGTTCTTCCTTAAGCTGGGCCTTCCTGTGCCTTCGTATTTGCAAAAAGTAACCGGAGATCTCGAAAGAGAGGACAAGTTTAAGGCGAAGAATGCAAGACTGAAAAAGACTGCGGCGGCTCCAGTTCCAGCTGTTAGCAAAAGGGCGGGAACAGCCGAAGATGGAGACAAGAAAGAACCCAAGAAACAGAGGAAACTGTGAGGGCTGTTTCAGGACTGCGGCTCAGTCGCTCTGACAGCTAAATAATATCAGGCATCCAGTATTTTTGTTCGGCGGAGCCGAGGGCTTGGATCCCGAAAATTCACGAGCTTTTCGCCTTGGCGGGCAAATGGCAACGCAGGCGGTTTTTGATCAACCGATCTTCTGCAAGGAAAATGTTTTAAATCTACGATGCCTATACCTCCAAGGGGGATCTGACAATGGCGATCGGTGGTTTAAAATCGACGAAGCGAGGTATGCCGGCTATCAGCAAGCACAGCCTACGTCACGGCTTGGAAACTCCGGAGCCTATAAAGGTGCTTCTTATGCAGCAGCATGACCTCATGTACTCGAGGCACTGTTTTGTAAGGAAATGAAACCCACTTTGAGAGCTCTCTTTGGAGGCAACCGTGCATGATGCGTCCTGCGCGATGCACGCCAGCTGCACACTCGAGAGACTATTCGGTTGATATTTTGCAGCCTTTCCCAAAATTTTGCCCGCATTCTGGGGTAGCCTTGTTTCGAATTCTCCAGAATATCTGCTTGCAAGCCTTGCACAGAATACTTTTTCCCCTGTATCTGCGAGCCTTTGCATGTTGCATGCACCGTGTTGTATCAGATTCAGTGGCACCCTTCACTGCTCCGTTCCTCATCAAACAATAAAATACGCTCCAGTGTTTCTTCCTCGTTGCAAAGGCTATGGCATCGGTAACGACTGATGTTATTGGCGGCAAGATCGCCGTTGCTCGCCAGAATGCTCAGATCTTGTACTCTGAGTTGCAGAAATCGTACATGGCTCTTCAGGATGCCTCTCTTTCAGAAGTGCTGGCAAATGTACAGCCCATCCCACCAAGACGATATCTCAGGCTCTACAACACATTGAAGGGCCATCGAGACAAGATCGCCCAGGTCAAGTGGGATCATAGTTCTCGCCGAATCGTGCTGGCATGTCAGGACGGCTTCATGATCATTTGGGACGCTATCACCGGGTTGAAGCTTCAGGCTATCCCCCTTGAGAACTCGTGGGTGCTTTGCTGTGCATACTCACCCAGCGGCAGATTGGTGGCTCTGGCTGGATTGGACAATAAGTGTCTGATCTACAAAGTGAACATTCCTGAGCCCGGTGAACCTATAACTTCGCAACCTGGCTCTTTCGAGCTTTCCGAGCTTTCCAAACCGTATAGAGCTGGCCCAGGCGCCCATGCTGCCTACGTCAGCGCCTGTGAGTTTCTTGATGAGAACAAGATCCTCACGGCATCCGGTGATATGACGATCGCTCTTTGGGACACCCAGCGGGGGATCAGATCGTATGAGTTCTTGGGCCACACTGGAGATGTTCTACTGATGCTGGCAAGGCCGTCGCAAAACACGTTCATGTCATCAGGTGCCGATGGTCTCGTGAAGGTGTGGGATATCAGAGAAAAGGGCCCCGTGATGTCGTGCAACATACTGAAAACAGACGTCAATGACATTGCCGATTTCCAAGATGGCAACTCGTTTGTTGCTGGCGCCGATGACGGTATCTGCAAGCTTTTCGATTTGAGATCTGAGTGTGAACTTGCACGATTCGAGCTACTGGCGCAATTTGCACCCGCAAAGAACACAACAACCATCACCACCCCGTTACATTCTCACTTCGACACGCCTGGCGTAGTGTCGTTGGACTTGAGCAGGTCGAAGCGGATCTTGTACGCCTGTTACGCAGACTATGGGTGTATTGCGTGGGACGTACTTAAGAACGAGATAATAGAGTCAATTGGTGTGGGAAGCGGATGCCACAGTGGGAGAATTTCCCAAGTAGCCGTTAGTGCCGATGGAGAGGGTTTGGCCACGGCCTCGTGGGACCTGATGATCAAGGTGTGGTCCACATGAAAGATAGAACTAATATAAGCCGATGAGTATGGAAGGTTGATGTAGGGGGAGAAATTGGAGATATAATATTGTAAGATTGTGTGATGAGGTATAGAGAAATGGCAGATGGTTGCTAATGGCCTTCTGCCCCATCTATGCCTTGAAGGACTACGATGATAAACCATCACACTGCCTCTTAGGACTACAACACATAAACCATCACAGAACGCTTACTCGCATATATTATAACTGTGAACTCAAAGCTTCAATCACCCAATCCTACATTCCCTCCACAGTCGTATCATTTTAGTATATAGCCGCCCAGCCCCCACCGGACGGACCATTATGTCGGGGTGTAGACAGAGGACTCCAGGCCTGGACACCTGTCGATGGGCAAAAGTCCCAAAACTCGCTCCAGAGGCCCCCCTAGCCAGAAAAGCCCGCTCAGGCCTCTCCAGTGTGCTTCTTCACGTAGTCCCACAAACTCTTCAACAAGGACTCGGGCAACGTGAACAAGTCCATGGTGAACTCGCCGTTGTCCACGTCGTTCTTGATATTCATCTCGTTGGTTCTGTTGTCGGTGACCATCTGCACAATGACAATCAAGTCGTCCTCGCTCAACTTGGTGAGGCCATTGGCGAGTTTCTCCAAGTCCACGGCACCCTTGGTGGCGGCGCCGTTGGCACCCTTCAATTTCTTCAGCTTCGACGACAAGTCAGACTCGTTTTTACGCTTGCCGTCGTCGGCAGGAACTGGACCCAGCTCCGCCAATAGCTTGTTCAACTGCGCCAGCTTCAAAGGAATCAGTATCTGGTGGTCCACAGTGTAGGTCTCCTGCAAGAAGTTCAAGTCGTGGCTGAATTTGCGTTCGCCTTGCTTGCCTGGAAGTCCCACCAAGTGCACGGCAATGGGGATGTCGAATTCACCCCAACCCTGTTCCTCCACACGGAAAGGCGCCTGCTTGAGCGTTCTAATCGGGTTGGCAAACGTCGGGTGCAACGTGTAGGTGACCTTATCTAGTATACTGGCGGTAATCTCCTCGCCTTGTTCGTTCAACATGGTGATCTCTATGGACCACTGTCTCATGGGGTAGTTTTCCACCGGCGGCACATCCTTCATGATGGTCTGCTGGGTGGTGATGCGGACGGTTCTCTTGGTCTGGTATTAGTACAATTTTCATTCTGCCTGTGTTTTGGCGGCTACTTACTTCCGACATTGCTTGTTGTTAAAGTTTTTCTCAAGAGTGTGCACATCATAGCACGATCCCGAGCACCACAATGTATAGAGACCGGTACCACGGCTGTTTGGAAGGAGATCCAGACACACAGCCGCTGTGTGTTTGTATGGGCGGGCGGCTTCGAGGCGGTAGTACTAGCGCTGTAGCCGGCGTGGTATTGGTGGAGTTGGCTGGTCCTGATGGGTGAGTAGTGGTTGCACCATTCGTAGAATTGGACAATGTGGAGGTGGAGGCGTTGGAATTCACTGGAAAAGAATTTGAAAGTGTGGTGGTGATTGGTTTTGTTGAAAGGGTGGGTGGTTTTGTTGAATTGGTGGTTGTGGTTGTGGAGTTGGTTGTGGAGTTGGTGGTGGTGGAGATGGGTGAGTAGGTGGTTGATTGAGGGGGGAACGAGACAGCCTCACTTTTGGTAATTGGGGGATGATAATGGCCTGAAGTTTGTGAAAGTGGCTCTTTTGTGACTTGTTCTGTGGTGCTTGGGGTGTCTGTTTGGAGTACTGGTTCTGTTGGTTTAGATGTGGGAACCGTATGCGAAGACAAGGTAATTGAGCCGGTTCCAGAGAAGTCAGAGTTCTGTAAATCAGGATTCTGGAAGCTTGAAGTTGAAGTTCTGGCTGCCTTTTGCGTTTCGGTCTCCACGGGCAATCTGAATATATCGCTTTCGGTAATGGACCCACTTGCATCACCTTCAGATACAGCATTCAACGAGGGAGTCGATAGGGTCTCCTCATTGGCGGTCTGCGTAATTGTGAGGGTTGTGACTTCAAATTCCGGCGAGATTGGCCTTTCTGGGCTGCTCTTCAAGTGAACCAGTCCAGTGGAGGTAGGTCCCATTTCGTCATCTGGAGCAGCCGTTGAAGGGGCCAAAGTTGGGCCAGAATCGGAGATTGAAACGTTTTCGGCAGCTGCAGAAGACTTGGATTCTGAGCCGCTTTCCACCTCTGTTTTGTAGCCTCTCTGGTTGTCCATATTGGTGGAAGTAGCTGAAGCTTCTAAGGACACTGGTTTTGTGCCAGTTGTACCCAAGGAGAATTGAGACTGACTCCCTCCAAAACTACCATCCTCTTGCCCAATACTTGCTGTAGTCACCGCCCCTTCTGGTCCAGTTGTACTGACCATACTGCCATCCAATGGCTGCGAAATAGTACCACTATAGCCCACATCCAGCCTGTTCTCCGAAAACGGCCCGTCCAAAGCCGCCATCGTCGTTGTCACATTCACAAAAATAGTGTGTGTTTTTGTTTTATGTGTTTTTGTTTTCTTGGGTACGGAAGTTGGCTGATTTGACTCAACCTCAGTCTCAATGGACTTCGACTGGTTGTGGCTGCCTCTTCCCAATAGCCGCTCAATGACGTCCTGGATCTTTCTCTTCTCCTCGTGGTACCCGAAATTTGTTTCCGTAGTTGTGGGAGTTTCAGCACTAACACTGAAAGAAGACTCTGTGGCACTCGTTTCCGTCGTAATCGCTGGACTTGTCACCACCTCTTCATCGTCTCCACTTGAAGTCACCAGAAGCTTTCCAATCGCCTCAACTGGTGTACCCTGAACTTCTCCCTTTGCCTCATTACCCTTTTCCAACACCCTTCCAGGATTCTGGTACTCATGCTTTCTGTCTGTGAGATACAGCGTGGGTCCAAAGAAGAGCGGTATTTCTGTCGACAGAGACGTTGCTGGCACGCTGCTCGAAGTAATTGGACTCTGATACGAAACCAGCAAATTCAGGCTTCGGGGTGGCTCGGCAAAAGTGGATTTTTGGATCTCGGTCTCGCTGATTGTGGAAGTCGGTGTAGTCAGGTTGAAGAACCCAGAAACACCAACGACAGACGGCGAAGCGTGCACTGTGTGATACACCGTAGCAGTAGTTGTGACAACCACCACCTGGGCACATGCCGCTTGTACGAGCAGAAGAAACCTCATGGTTGTGGTCTTTTTGCACCCAATCGCGATAGTGGTAGTGGGTGATGGAGGGGAGAAAGAGAATATTTATGAATTTTTGGAGTTGATGAAATATATATGGAGATATCAGGTGGCAAAGAGTAAAAACTATTGAAATTGTGACGTTCGGTAGTTTTTGGCTTGTTCTAGTTAGGCTTGTTCTGGCTCACATAGTACTGAAAGCCTATATGGTACTAGAGGCAGAGGTCACCAATAAGACAAATACAAGCCTATTCTGATTTTATGCGAAAAATCCAATTAAAGCCAAGATGTCCCGCTCTACAATCGTGTAACCCGATCAGCTCAACTTTAGTATGTACAAGAGAAAGTCCGATGAAGCATGATCAAGCAACGGTCTCACTTAAAACGGCCTCAAAAGGCCTCAAGCAGCCTTCAACAGCATCAAATAGCAACAGCCACATCACTTTTTCTGGCCGAAAACCTCCTTGTAAAGCCCCGGAACCATGGCCTTGATCACAGCAGAAGAAGAGCCCCAGTTGGTGGCCACCTCCTCGGTGATCTCCTTGAAAACACTGCCGATCTTCGTGGACCCGTCCTTCTGCTTCAACTCCTCAAGAAGAATCTTCAACTTGTTCAGAATCCCCTCCTCGCTGGCCACAGGCAACGCAATCACGTACTTTCTGATGATATCGGCTTCTTCCTCCTCAGCCAGAGCCAAATCGTCACGGCCCTGGGTCTTGAAAGCGTGGGAGGAGTCGATTCTCTGCTTGATCATCTTGTTGAGCGAACGAGCCAACTCAAACTCGGTCTGCTTGGCGCCGTCGATTTCGCTGTTTTTGACTGTGGAAAGCACCAGTCTGATGGTGTTTTTCTCGAGGTTGTTTTTGGCGATCATGGCTTTTTTCAAGTCGCCCTTGATCAGCGCAAGAAGCTGTGTGTATGCGGGAGTGGCCTGGAGCCTTCTAAGCGATGGAAGCATGGGAGGTGGATGTGGTGGATGTGGATTTGGTGATGTAGTAGGTGCGAATTAGGCCTGGTGCATCCCACCGAATTGGAGGTTAGTGAACTTAAGATTTGAAAAAAAAAAACCAACGTATTATGAATTAGGGGAATTGATGGAACCTCGGAAAAAGCTATTCTGAATTATTGCTCAAATTCGGGAATTGTGACTGTGCCTGGAACTGTGCCTGTGGAACGAATACTGGCTGCGAAATGGGTCCAATGAAGTTGCGCTTGACACCAGCGTGGGGGCCGTTTTGGGATAAATTAGATAACGTGTAATGACGACGATTACGGCAAGATAACGCTGTCAATGGGTTACGTCATTTGGGCGGCTTGGGCGGTATGTGACTTTGCGTCAGGACCATGTGAGCAGGTTCCACATGGGACTTGGGAGGGAGGTGATTTTCTTGATTTCTCCAATTTGATTCAATTACGCGTTTCCGCTTCAATCGATTTAATTTCAGCTTCAATTCAATTGGTCCTTTTGGGAATAACCAGCATCCCCGTATCTCACTTATCCGCTTTGAGACAAAATCACCAAGGGAAACAACGTCACCACGAGACAACGTCACCATGGGCAACACGCGTCGACGTCACTAACGCATAGTCTTATTCTGACTTCTCCGGTCCGACTGCTGCTGCTATTGTTTCGTAATGTGCTAGTAATGTGCTACCCCAGAACACCGGGCTAAGCCCTCGTCTAGCGAGAATGCTGCTGGTGATAATGGGATTTCCACTTTGGGCGATGATTACCCCGTAAAAAGCGAAGGCGTCGAGGAATGTCGGCCCTAGACGACGAAAAACACATTCAAAAGGGGAATTCCAGAGATACCGTCCCACTGTCCCACCGTGTTTCGTGGATATCTGGCTTAGCTGCACCGAGTCCGAGGTGTCGCAGAATCCCACCAGCCTAGGCCCCTACATTTACGCTTTAAAGAACAAATCCTTAAAGTTCTGCCCTTGAAAGCATGCTTCCATAACGTTTGGTGCCACAATTAGACTTTGGGCACCAGCCGTTCAGACCCCCAAAACTGTGTAGCCTGTTGTAGAATTCAAACCTTAAAGCTTACGGCAGGCCAGGCCGGGCCCAAATCAGAAGCTCACGCCACGGCGCAAAAAGCACACCGCGTATTGGGAAACGGCTCCCGGAGCCCGAGGCGAGATTTAGCCATTTTAAGAAATCTGGCGTGCAATCAGGCGGTGTGCTCCGTGTCGGCTGGACCACCGCCACGTTTTAGCTGATTTTGCTCGGATTCTCGGAGGTTCCCCATTTTTCGAAAATTGGAGGAGAGGGCAGCCGATCGCTCAAGCCAACTCCATTTTCGTGCAAATGGCACCCCGATTCGTCGGAATGTCAAGTCTAATGCTGGCGCATAACCTAAACTTCTCGCGCGCTTTAACGCTTTATTGTTTTGCAGCCAAAACGATGCCCTTAGGGGGGTCGACTTTCTTATGATTAGTTAATCCCCATGTTGTAAAACTTGCAAACCGCCCTTTTGTGCCTCTTATCTCCAACGCATGGTCTAGGTGAGACAATGCTGTCAAGTTGCTGCAGTGAGCCGCAGACCCTGCAAGAACCCACAAGTCACCACCTCCCACATTTCCAAGCAATAATGACCAATGTCCTTGAATTTCTTCTTTTCCAAACCCCCCTCCCCACATCCCCTGTCTTCTGACATCTAGATTGTCTGCTTATGCCCAGCCTCTTTGTACTGCCGCCGCACTTCGCTTGCTTCGTACTGCAATATAGTATGCACCTGTCTCGCACCCACTTTGCTCTTGCTGTTTGCAACCATATAAACTCAGCCGGATCCCCGTCGAACCACAAAAAAAAAAACAGCTTTTTTTCTTTGAATGCCAGACTTCATTTTCCAAGCCCATGCGAAATCGAAATCCACTTTGCACTTAGATACAAAGGCCGCCACGGCGTGTGGGGGTGCTGCCGATGAACTCACAGCAGTGGTTCTGGGCCAGTTCAGAAAGGGCTCTGATTCTACTCTCCAGGGCGACGATAACAAGTTTTTGGTCAGTCTGCCTCCTTTGGGCGAGACTCCAGATTCGCCTTTAAGAGAACCGGCTTCTCCAACTTCGGTTTCCTCCACAGAAACGCAGGTGCCTGCTGTATCGTCATTGGACGCTTTCCACGAGTCGTTGCAAAAAACCGAAAGCGGGATATTTCTCATCAGGTCGCCTGCTGAACTCAAAACGTTGCTTGATTTCTTTTACGGCGGCTCCAACGCGTTGGCGCCATCCACAACGACATTCCCTTATTTGCATGGAATGAGCCAGATCAAGCAGAGAGTGTACTTCCACGAGAACTTCAACGCTGCAACCGACCTAGGCTTGCTCAATAACCCACCAGAAGACATTCCCGAGGTATTTCCTCACGACCTCTCTGTTGAAAAACCTCAAATCCCATTCAACCTCATGACGGTCCACTCCACAGAAACAGACAAACCCCGGCTCGTCAACACCATCACACTCGACGATATAATGACCTTCAAGGAGGAGGATGGCACCGATTATGAGTTCTCTCTGCTCCAGAAACTAGACGACTTTTACCAGCTTGAAAACCCTCCATCCGAAACACAAGAGCTTCTCAACAGAAACTACCACTTGCAATCTCGACTCATGGCTCCAATGTCACATTTTCTTGTGTACAACAGCCAAATGAGCAGCTCGGCGAATTACCATGTCGCTAAGGTGATTTCAGGCATCAAGCTGGAGGACCAGAATGTGTATATCGCTGAATTTCCAGTCAACGAGTGGCCTCAATGCTCCCCTTACTTGGAGAAAGAAGTCACATACTCGATTGGGGGCCATTCTTCTGTGTTCTACCACGAACCTTACCAGAAGAAATTGCAGGTTATGGAGCAGCAGCTCATGTGGCAGCTCAACGGCCTTAAGGAGTTGTTTCCACGTTTCTACATCGGCAATGTGTTCAACTTCAAACATCTTGTGGCCTCCAGAGAACAGAACTTCAAATTGCATATCCACTGTCACGAGAACGCCAAGCTCCCGTCTTTGGAGGCTCTTCGTCAAATCAGCCAGTCTTTGCAAGACGGAAGGTCACACGAGACTTATTTTCTCGAGTTCCCAGACTCCATTGCAAAGCATACCGACGAGCTCTCTCCAAAAGAAATTATCAGCTATGTCAACGTGCTCAAGCTCATCCACAGCATAGTCCTCAAACGCAAGGGCAAGATGTTTGTGTACTCGTTTGACGGGTTCACTTGTCTATCTCTTTTGGTTCTCAGTTTGTCGATGCTATGGACATCCGACTCTGTTGAAGAAGCAGCACTCAACATTTTCCGCAAACCAGCATTCAAATTGTACCTCTACCGTGAGGATTTCACATTTCTAAAGCAGTTCGAGCCTTACATACTTTGGCTCAGGCAGAACGGCCTCAAAAACTCCCACTTGCAACTCACCTTGCCTGTGCGGGACATATTGCAGATACCCAGAAGAAAACCTAGCCCCATCGACTGGTTCGAGGAAGGCAAGGATATGAATTTCCCAGCATACATTCACGACACACTATTCCTCGGCTCGGCGGCCCACAGCTCGTCTGTAACCGTCTTGGCGACCCTCGGCATCAACAGATTGATTTCCATAGACAAGCTTCCCATCTGGTTCCACCTCTTGGGATGCAAATTCGAGCATGAGGCAGGGCCCTTTGACAAAAACGTCATCAAGCCAATTTTCCTGTTCAACAACGATAAAGCCAAGGTCTATGAAGTGGCTGTTCCCGAACGGGTGCGAGACTTGCTCCAGTTTCAGGTCCGCTCCATCGTGTACATCTACAACGTTCGGGACGACGGGAAGGACCTGATGTTGCCCTTGCTCTTGGAGTGTCCAGACCACGTCCAGCGCAAGCTTTTGGTGGATCCAGATGACAAGTCCTCCAGAACACTATTGCATTGCCGGGTTGGCGTCTCGAGATCAGCGTCGTTGGCCATCGCCGCCATCATGAAGTACTTCCACATGGACGTTTTGGAGAGCTATTTGTACGTGCGTGTGAGGCGGTTCAACGTCGTGATCCAGCCCAATCTCCGTCTCTTCTATGAGCTCTTTTTGTTTGACGAGATGTTGCAGCGCAAAAATAACCCTGATTACAGACGCAAGTACTGCTGGTGGGTCGTTTGCGACCAGATTGCACGGCTCAACCAGAGCTACATTCGGTAGTCCAGCAGGTCAGGCATGAATTAACGTTTCTCCCACATCGTGTACGTGTAGCTGTAGGAACCTTCCTCAAGGGGACCTGCGGGAACTTCAATATCAACAAACTCACGAAGAGCGGCGTGGTCCAGTTGAGCCCATTTTGTAAGATCCCAGTCCAAGAAAGTGTCCATCTCGGGTCTTTCCGTCTCTTCTCCAATGTAGTTTATATGAGTGACGAGCAAATTGTCCACCCTGGGGTCCAAAATCACAGAATTGTAAACCTGTGACCCGCCAATAATGAAGATCTTATCCAATGGTTTCTCTCCGACGCGGTAGGCTTCTTTTTCGAAATGCAGCATCACACTGTCGATGGAATTGAAGTGGAAAACGCCATCGGAGTCGGTCACGTTGGAGTTGGAACGTGACAAAATGACATTAATTCTTCCAGGAAGAGGTCTGAACTTCTGAGGGATCGAATCCCACGTCTTTCTGCCCATAATGACCGCGTTCACGTAACCTTCTTTTGCCTTGGTTGTAACGTCTTTAAAATACTTCATTTCTTGTTTAAGACGCCATGGTAGTTTTCCTTTGGCACCAATACCCATAGAAGGCTGAAGAGCAGCCACAATAAGGGAGATTTTAGGACGGGACATGGAAGAAGTAGTGGTTGGTGGTGGAAGAGGTTGTACGCGCAGTGCAGGATTATCATGGTTCAGCATTCATTAACACAACAATTAACTAAAATTACAACGTATCGAAAACTAATGTACAAAAAGCGCGCATAGGGAATGTCAATCTAGGCGGCAGCTGCCACGACGCGAGACCGGGGTGCCCTGGACGCCAGCTTGGGCGCCGATCTGGCCGTTTTGGTGCTCTTAGCGGTCTTTGGTGCAGCCTTAGCCTTTGCTGCTGGTTTGGCAGCGGGTTTGGCCTTGGAGGCGGCCTTAACGGGAGTCTTCGCGGTGGCCTTAGCCTTGGTGGCGGGCTTCGCCTTAGAAGCGGTCTTTGGTGCTGCCTTGGAGGAGGCCTTAGCAGCTTTGGTGGGAGCCTTGGCGGCCTTGGTGGGGGTCTTAGCGGCCTTCTTGGGCTTGGTGACCTTTCCGGCAGCAGGTTTGGCTGTCTTTTTGGTCGCCTTGGTCTTTGGCTCTGCTTTGGCGGTCTTGGTGGTTTTAGTGGGCTTGGTAGTTTTGGCGGGTTTGGTTGTTTTGGTGGTCTTTGGGGCGGCCTTGGTCTTGGTGGCAGCAGCCTTCTTGGGGGCCTTTGCGACCTTGGTGGTCTTGGACGTCTTGGTGGTCTTGGGGGCCTTGACGACCTTGGCAGCCTTGGTAGGTGCCTTGGCCTTCGTGGGCTTGGAAACCTTGGAGGTGGTGGTCTTTGAGGAGGAGTCCTTCTTGACAAGCTTCACGGGGCCTGAGGGGCCCTTGGGCTGAGTGAAATCGCCGCTTTCAACGCCCTTTCTCAACGCCACGTTGAACAAGGAGTCGAAGTTTGGCGCTTTTACAGCGAAGTTGTCAAGCACGAATTTCTTGATCGCCTGGCGGCTGTTGGTTAGTTAATTGTTTTGAGAAAGTGTGGAGGTGATACATACGAAGAGCCTGCTCTTTCCTTCAAGGAGGCAATTGCGGAGACAATCATATCTGCTGTTAGAAAGGGGAATTGAAAATGGTTATTTTTTTCCGTACCTTTATAGGTTGCCTTGGTGGCAACGGGTTGGGACTTTTTGGCCATGGGAAAAGCAAGTGGTAGGGATAAAAACAAACAAGGTGCGTGAAGGAAGCATAACAAGTAGGGGTCCACCGCGCCGCGCTTTACAAAAGATGAAGAGGTGAGAGAATGTGGGATTTTTGATTTTTGGTGAAATGAAGCAAAGGGCTTTTTAAAGAACCAGTTTAAGTTTGGATATTCACGGTCCTTCATGGAGTGTTGTTTTGTTTCTGTTGAAGCTTCGAGGCTAGTGGGTTCCGGTCACACGCACAACCAAAAAGTAGCAAAGGTTGTTTTTTTTCGAGGCAAATGTGGATTTTCCGAGGCGGGGCGGCGATTGTATGAGCATTTCCGACGAAAGGTGCCAGTACCTCGAATTTGCCGCTTTTTCCTCGAAATCACGGGCATTCTCGGGCTTCCACAACGGTTGCAAAAGACGTTGGGGCGCATTCTGCAGCCCATGCGAGGCTCATTTCTGAGACACGCCTACTCCGAGCTCCGGATTGCAAAAAAAGTGGAATTTACGGGGAAAAAGGTGGATTAGTGTAATTGGTGGGTTTGGGCAAGTTTCGGTGATTTTGTATTTTTGAATTTGTGGTTGTGTTGTGCAGATTCTGGGGACTTCATCAGAGGAGAATCGAGGCTGGTTCGTGCAGATCCGATTACCGACTTTCGCCAAAGTGGAAATTTATCTTTTCGTGGTGGAAATCGATCGAAATTGAGATTATCTGAAGTCGATGGATTTTGAGATCTTTTAAATTGGATGTTTCTAATCATTTCGTTTGTTTCACTCAGTGTCACTAATAGGGCATTGGATTCGGAGTGTTTGATAAACCATGCACGATTAAGCTTTCTGCAACCAAAGATCCTTTTTGCTTTTTGGCAGAGATGAAAGGGAAAGAAACTTTAATATTTTGGTAAGCGGCCTCATCTGGATCATTTCCCAGAGTATTCTTTGAAATTCTAGTGAATCATTACCGTAAGTATTCTATGATATTCCTGGAAATACTCTTAGGCCTTGAATAAATTCAGACCTTAGTCGCCTAACTTCGTCGCCTAACTTCCCAACTTCAACAAAAACCAATCACATCCTCCCCAGTACCCCCTACAAATCCTCATTAACTTCCTTTATTGGGACGGCTCCTCCCGCCTGCCCCCTATCTACAAATCTATTGGCGTCTACGGACAAACCTCCTCCTCGCTCCACAAATGCGAGCTGTCCTTCTGGTAAATGTAGCGCCTGTCCTTCTCCTGCTCGTAGTAGTCAACCGTCTCCACGAACATCGCAACCACGGCAAAGTTCTTGAGCCCACTGTCCTCGCCCTTGCCGTCAACGCCCCTGTTGATCTTGTCAATAGAATTCTGCTTCGACTCGTCCAACATCGATCTGGGCGCCGGGCGGCGGAAAGACAGCTTGAGGCCCTTGGAGAGGTCGTTCCACACACGCTGCAATTCCTGGTCCCAGTCCTCCTTGGTAGGGGCGGCAAACTCCACGTGCGAGAGCTCTTGCAAGTTGGGGTACGAAACGGCGAGGTTTTTCTGTTCGTGGGCGAGTTTCTGGAACGCCAAGGGCGATAAGAGCGGGTAGCTCAAAGGCACCAGCTGCGGACTGACGGATCCGCCGTTCTGGCTCTTTTGCGGACTGGCCACGGACATCTCCAAAGCGCCGCTATCGTCGTCGTCGTCTTCCTCCTCCTCGGAATCGCTCAGGTTGTTGTGGCTCAGCAGAATGATGTTGCGGGGCTGAATGCTGGAAACATCCACAATGGGACGGTGTTCCTGGTCGAGAAGTCTGGCGTGGCCACGGAACCTAAACTGTTTGCGGATCTTCTCGAACCAGAACACGGCCTCGAACTTGTCGTTGGCCAAGAGCTCGTCGTACTTGTCCATCCGCCTGTCCGTGCAAAAGATCATCACGTTGTTGTCGCTGTTGTCGAAAAGACTGCCTCTGTGGACCAACGTTCTGTTTTTCGGGAACCCGTCTTTATCAACAGTGGCAAACTGGAACGTGGTGAACGGCGGCTTGTGGTCTCTGGCCGCTGCTTCCGCCTCTAGTGCCGATGTGAATGTAGGCACCCACGGCGCCATGTACTGGTGGATCATTCCTCCTCGAAGCTGTTGAAGGGACGATGTGTTGATGAATCTGCCAATTCTGGGAAGGTGGTACTGCCTGGGAAGGGCGTGGGTGAGCAGCACGGCGTGGGTTGTGTTGATATCCCTTGGGGTAGAGTGGCACTGATCGGAGGCTTGAGGTCAGAAGACGTTAATTGCGCACTGGACCACATGGTAGCAAGGGCGGGGGGTTCCGAGACGGACGGGGCGGGCGAGGTTGGGGAGAAAAGAGAAAAAAGGGGGAGGAGAAAAAGAGGAGGAAATGGCCGGTTTATATAGTTTTTGCCACCCTGGCCGTGTGGATTCTGGTGGTTCTGGTGGACCTTGGGGTGCTGCGAAGAGCGATGCACCAGGGATGAGACAGGAGAAGAGAAGAGGAAAAAAAAGTGAAAAGTGGAAAAATGAAGGAATTGGGGGGATTTTGGATTTTGATGGTTTTTGGAATTTTTGAGGTTTTGGGAATTCTTTCAATCTGACCCGGTTACGGGTTTGTGGGGTCTTCGAGAAGACACGGAGATCAAATCGGTTTTCCTGATCCGAAGGTGATTTCGAGAAATTTGTGTCGATTTGGGTTCAAACGGATGAGTTTTCATTTCGGGTAGTTTATTTGCTTCTCTGTCATTGATATTTTCGGGGTTCTGCCGAAAAGTGATGGAACTCGTCTGTGGTGAAAAATGGGAAAGACTCAAGTTTATGAGAAACGCCGGCGGTTAATATGGGTCTTTCCGGTGGAATAATTATTTCGGGAGGAGCCGATAAAAGCGTTATTTTAAACTTGACTAATAGTCCGTACTAGCTTTGTGAAGTTAAGATCCATCTGACTAGTGTATTTCAAAGTAGAGGGAGACACATTCAAAAATTGTTAGATGTTGTGCTGGACTTATTTTCTTGAGATCAGTTATTCAACAAATCCACAATTTTGGAAGTCTAGAAGGAATTGTTCCCAATCCGATTTAAGTTGATGTTTCTTAGCCAGTATAGCTGCCTCCAGCACTCTTCCCTCAAACAAGATAGAGCCAATGGACCCACTGGAAAGTGTACAACTTCGCATTTGTACGTAAATTTACACGAGAGTGCAACGTATGTCTCTTCGGGGACTCACAATCCGAATGATCGGGCGAAGATTCGATTTCGAGAGGAATCTCACCCTCAAGAATTTCCAGAGGTAGTCGAAGACTTCGAGCACTTGTACTGCCGTCGACAACATCCTTGAAATCTCCCCACTGAATCGAAGGAAATTTCCCGTTTTTCTTGAACAACGGAAACTCCCTATCTCTGCTTAATGAAAAATTGTCCTCCTCGAGCGTGATCTCAATCTCTTCGATCACAAATTCCATATCGTCTACAGTCGTGTCATGACTCGCTTCATCATAGCTTTGGCCAACAATGAAAGTGAAGTTCATGAATTCAGAGAGCTTCATTCCGGGCCTCACCATTGTCGCCGCTTTCCATTCCTTGGCTTGAGTAAAGCTTTGATTGCCCGTGAGCGTGAGACGAAAAGAGACCGGAATACTCAGTATCCCCATTGCAAAAACACCATCTTGAGGTGCTCTTTTATCCCGAAGCAGATGGCAAGTCGAGAGGGATTGCATAACTTGATCGCCTATCATCAAGCATTTGGACGCAAATGGCTTTCCTGAGTTGGATGCATCACCACCTGGAACAGGCAGTTCCGTAATCTTCGATACTAAACTCACCCTGTCCTGATTCTTCACAAAAGAAAGCGAATAATTCAAAAGCAATTTAGCTTGTCTCTTCAAATCGGGTTTGAGATTGGGCGTAGCAAATCTTGCTGCAAGCCGCGGTGTGAAAACCATACATTTCTTTTGGCCATTTGTGTATAACAGAAGCAGATATTGCCTGAAGCTCGTTTGAGCTTTAACCAAGAATAGACTGTATGACGACACTAAACGGTTAGTATCTTTCTTGCTAGATGCAACCCTCAGTTGGATCCAGTATGACGAGATACGTGGATTTCCATAATACTGCAAGTGGTCAACATCCTCATCTCTTATGCGTTCAGATTTCTCTTGAGCCAAGTTCAATTCGACAAATGCCGTAGAAGTGACTTTTCCAATTTTATCGTGGCTGAGCTTGAATGTTGCTTTCAAGCCGTAGCTTCTGGTGAGATCATTTGTGAAGAAAGTCGGACCCACCATAGGCAATTCACACGAGTACATCTTTGCCAGAATTCTCAGCGGTTTTTTTGAAAGCATGATTGACTCAAACGGCTTACTCTCGAGAAGCGTTTTTGTCCGGACATCTTGGAAAGCCTCCTCATGATTATGTGTGCTCGTGAACTCCTGTAACTCGATTCGAACGTCAGTTATAATAAACGGCTCCTCGAGCCTATCGTCGATCAATCCCGTAGTTCGAAAGTCGAAGGATAAAAAGTCGGATACACGCATACCCGGTATCACTATACGATGACACAAATCTTGTCGAAAGTGAGGAAAAGGCTTAAATTCCGCCCGAAGCTTGATTGGCATATCCTCGTCAATCGCACTCACCGACTCCATGTTCATTTCAGAGCCAATTCCCCCGAGACGATGAGACATAGGAAATTTTGCACCAGGAAAATATTGTTTTTTGACTCCGGTCGTGAAAAAACAGGTAGCTACGGTTGGCATTGGCAACTCATGACTGGACCAATCGTAAGTCATATATGTCCGACAAACCTCAAATAGAACCCTGGGAATAATAGGATCCGGACCCGATCCAAATGCGGTGACGCCATTGGCCAAACGGGCATTTTCTAGGTGTACCTTTCGTTCAGGGCTATTCAGATCAGAACTGATACGCTGAAGCTCATTCACCTGGTGATATTCATCGTTAATTTTGTAGCAGTTGGCCAGAAAGGAGTATGCATTAGTGTCCAGTAACCTTTCCATTTCTGCCAACACCTTTTGATAGTCTGACCCCAAGTTTTTGAAGCTGAAAACGGTGTCCAACTTCACCGGGGGAGTGACTTTTTCAACCTTTTCTTCAGAAAGGGGCTTAAGTAAAGAACGTAACGATTGCATTTGTCAGTTTTGAAAAGCAAGATTCGTGTAACAAAATCATGGGCAATCTTGTCTTTTATAATACGAAACATAACTTGATAATAAATTCATGATTAATTGAATTTGCCGTACCAGTATTTCACGTCACGCATTGTAATCGGAAGAAGAGATGATCCTTGCACTGTGCCAGATGTCATATGGGCACCAACATAGAAATATGAAGAGGGTTGATTGTGAAAGCGTGATTTATGAAAGAGTAGATTTTTCTGTGGAGAAGAGAAATGAAGTTAGAGCTACTATGGTATATTGAGGGTGTACGGGTCTAGGTGTGCCAGTGGAGCTTCTACCGAAGGGAAGCTGATATTACCAGCACCACAGCAGGATTCTGACGACCTTTTCGGTGAGCCGTTTATTACATAAAAATAAATAGCAAGTGCGTTTGCCTTGAGGTTTTGTCGTGACCTTCACTTTTTTATGAAAAAGGAGATTTTCTTTCACAGTAGCATATCATCAAGATGACACCTGAAGCGGCATGATTACTCCAGTTGCCAGGCCGCTGTTTTCAAGAAAGTAATTTTTTCTTTGGGGTTTTTGTAATTTTTGGATATCAAGATGGGTCGGTGGAGTAAACGAAGCAGCAGAATCTCAGGTCCACTATCTGTTGAAAGTTCGTCATCTTGTGGGTCTTGTGGCTGAAACCAACCCCCTGATTGCCTTCCTTGTGCTTGTTTATTTGGAAAGCCGACTTTCAAAACGCCGGAGTCGTTTGTCTTCAATGGCGTAAAAATCTTTCTGAAACATCGGCGGTTCATGATTTACAAAATTTCTAGAACAAGACCTCTAATGCCACTCCATGGCAAATTCCCTTAGAACCAATTCTTCATAAATAAAAGCAAAAACAGGAAAGATTTTTGTGGCTTCATTTTCTCCCTTTTCAAAAATGTGGTGGATCTTCATAAAACCCTCTCATCTGGTGGAAACCGGCAACCCGGTAATAGCGGTTATCAATTCATGAAACTGGGCAGCCGATAAAATTCCCAATTAGTTCAAAACGTTTCACGCTTCGGTCTCCTCCTTTGCTTTATCTTATCCTGGCTTCGACGAAACAGGAAGGTTGAATCGTGCGCTAAAGTTGGCAAACAACAGCCGCCAGCGCTTTGTCCCATTACATGAAGGCGCCTAATTTCATCAGGGGATGACTTTGAGAGCAGAGCTTCTCCGAATCTGCCGAGTTCACCGAGATGATAAGCGTCTTTTTTTAATTCCAGGAAGATTTTCGATTTTAGATTGTGGGTTGCAAATCAATGTGACCATCACTTTAAGAGCTCGTTGGGAAGTTATACGATTTCATGAGTTGTTCAATGGATTAAACAGCTTTAAATCAAATCACGCTGAGGTATACATTGCTCAAACCACGCTGAGGTATACATTGCCCAAATCACGCTAAAGCACGCATTGTGGTCCAGGCGATAAACAGTCTCATGAACCCACTCCAAGTACTACACTCTCTCATAACCCAAATCAATGAACTCTATAAACATACACGTTCCTGATACCTGCTCAGGATTTTCTGTCGTCGGTGCTGCCAGAGGACTGACGCTTGACGCCGTTGTAAATCTCCACATTCTCTGAATCCAGATGGTTGATGTACTCGTCGATATTTGGTCTGGGACCAATGTACCACTTGTGGGCGTCCACGGCAAACCAAATGATAAAGACAAGCATGGGCCCGAAAAACACAAGCACGGTCCAGTTCATGGCGTCGGGTGTAAGGTTCAGACCAGCCGAAGTAGGGAAGCACAAGAACGGAACCATGGTGACGACGAATGCAATGGCCACAATGCCCACAGGGAAGGACATGCGGCCCAAGTTCCAGGGACCGGGGCGGAAGGTGTCTCTGGAGTATGTGAGCTTCAAGATGGTGGGCATGATGAAGGAGATGATGGCGGAGATACCACCGACGGAGAAAATGGCGCCAATGGCGGTCTCGCCGCCAAACAAAAGAAGCAAGAAAAGCTGGCCCAAAAACATGTTGATCCACACGGCGTTGATGGGAGTGTGGGTCCAAGGGCTCACGATTTTCCAGTATCTCGAGAGCGGGAAAAGACGGTCTCTGGAGTAGGCGTAGGTGACACGGGAGGCTGCCATCATGCACGAGCAGCCCATGAAGAAGGACGAGATGATGGTCAAGGCTGTACAAGCAACAACACAGGCATGGGGGAGGAACTGGGTGAGGTAGGTGACAAACGGCTGGCCGAGTTGCAAAGGATCCTCAGAAATCTGCTCCACGTCCACCACAGTGTAGGCAATAGCAATCATGAAAATAAAGCCAATGCCACCGCCGATGGTGGAGGTCAAGCAGATGGCTCTAGGAGCAGCCACAGCGGCATTGGAGCATTCTTCAGCCAAATGGAACGGAGAGTCGTAGCCGGACATGGCCCAGATGACACCCATAAAAGAGACCAAAACGGCCACACCCGTGGGGAAGTCTGTCTGGTTATCGAACCCCCAGGCCATGCCGTTGGTGTTGAACTTGGAAACATCGCCGTTGTACATGCCGAGTCTGTCGTTGGCAGCAAAGATAATGACAAACACAATGGCCAAAAAAAGCATGTTGACGGTGGTGCTCATGTTGTTGAGCCAGGCCAAGTACTTGGTGGGCATGCTTGACAAGAAGGCGTGGACAACGTTGATGGCAGTGGTCAAGAGGTAGACGTGCCAGCGTTCAGGCACGTATTCGGAGCCAAAGGAGGCCAAGGCGAGGATCATGGAGGCGCCACTGTAGTTGCAACTTGGAGCGGCGGTGATCTGACACATCCAGTTGGAGAAACAAGTGACCCAGGTCAAAAACGGAGCCCATTTCTTGGGCGCTAGTTGTGACACAGCATAAGGAGTTCCAGCGGAAGTAGGAAACGCCGAAGCCACCTCGGCCATGGAGTAGGCCACGGCGGTGACGCCCAAAATGGCCAAAAGCCACGGAACAGGCGAACAGCCTACCACCATTTGTTGATACTCAAAAGTGGCAGCGACAGAAGGTAGAAGCCCCAAGACGGAGAAACTCACGGCAAACACAGAGAGACCCGTGAACTCACGCTTGAACTCCTGCTTGTAGCCCAAGGCCAAGATCATGGCCTCATCGGCCTCGACGGCGTGGTCGATGTTCAAGACGATGTCCTTGTTGGACATGACGGACTGGATGTGCAAATCATCGACTCTGACTTGGGAGGTGACGGGGTGGACCTCGGGGTCGGACATAGTTATATGGGGTGGGTAGCGAAGGGAAACGGGTGTGTTATAAACGGCATGGTTTTAGCCCAGCTTGCACAATCTGGGGATGCGTTGCTGATTTGGCGATGGGTTCCCGCTCGGGAAGCTTGGTGCGCATGCCGCTAGCGGACCAAGAAAAGCACAAAGGAGGGTAAAAAAAAAAAAAAAAGAAAGGGTAGACGTCAACAAAGGGCGGGAGAGGGAGGAACTGGTACTAGGGCTTGGGATTTGAAGCTGTGTGGATGCTGAAAACGCTGGGGTATGGGCACTAGGGCACAGTGAAAAATGCATATCTCGCGCCAATTGCCGTATCTCCACTATCTACGTGCGTGCGACCGGGGCTCATGTCCCGGGCTTTTGATTAAACAGCCTAAGGAGCAAAACTCACTGATCTAATTGAACTACCTGAACTTCTTAAACTTCTTCAAGTCTTCAATTCACTTTTGTTAATTTTTTAGAAGACTCTTCAAAACCTGGTGGCCGCCCCGCACGGCGCCATTCCGCAGAGGCGCATTCGGCCACTACCTGCCTGTTTCGGTGCTTATCGCAGCGCCAGTTCCCGCCAGATAACGGCGCCGAATGGCAGATTTCTGGAAACCACCGCAAGCGGAGGCCCACAAAACCACACAAGGAGATCGAACAAAAGCATAATGGGTTTGGAAGAATAGGAAAAAATCACACCCCAATTGTCTTTTTTCATTGTTTTGGCGAGCGGGGACCCCAATTCTTGTCCAGTCCGCTCTGTCCAGTGCCTCCAATGATAAAACTAGGCCCGGAGGCAATGGGGCCCTAGGCTGCGGGCTGGGTGCAAATTCTAGCGCGATAAGCGCTGGTGCCTGGCACCTTGGCGGACGCAGCCGGTGCCTGAAAAAGAAGGTGGACCATGGCGGCGAAGATAAGATAACGAGGCAGAAAAGGAGGTTTAGCTTTTGGCAGTTTAGGTTTGGAGAGTTGGAGATTTGGAGATTTGGAGATATGGATTGTGGGTGTGAGGTGGTGGAGAGGTGCACCGAGCCGCCGAGGTGAAACGGCACCAGACGAAAAACGCCAGGCGCCAGACGCCAAATGCCTGCGATGCGACTGTCTTTGTGTCGCTGATTTTTGCCCTACGATTCGCCCTACAATTTGGTTTTGGAGATTTAGGCTTTTCTTTTTATTTTGCCTCTTCAATTAGCTTTCAATTAGCTTTGATCGGGTGGATCGGCGGTTTCATTGTTCGTGGAGCTGGTGGGGTATGGCCACTCGGTGCTCCGTTTGCAGCAATAGTGCAGCCGATTTGCTCTAAAAGG